CCAGGAGTTGGAGGTTGCTGTGAGCTGTGATGCCAGAGCACTCTACCCAGGGGAATAGCTTGAGGCTCTGTCTCAAAAAAAAAAAGTCCTGATTTTTGGAAAGAATGCACGAACGGGTGGGAGAACAAGAGGGAATATACGGTTTTCGGCTGCCATGTGGCTATTTCACCAGAATATGAGTTTTATATTATTTTTGTTAATTTTATAATGTTAAACTGTAATAATAACAAATAATTGCTGAGAAGTGATTATCGAGAACTGCTTATCAAAGTTTGCATTGTTGTCAGGCCCTGCCGTGCCCCGGCCCCGGCCCTGCCCCCCCATGTTGTCCCGCCTTACCGATGTTAAAATCTGGTCACCCTATGTTAAGTGTAAAAACCTGAATACAGGGTACATCTAAGAAAGGGAAAGAGCAGTTCATGTTTTTCTTCTCTTGTATCTAGCAGCACAAGGCATCGAGTTTCTGAAGAAGCAGATGCAGTCAGAGAAGTCCTTTTTTTGGAGTTATTTGTTCTCCACTATGACAGAGGCTTTATTTCTTTGGATTGTCCATAGACTGGAAGCAGTTTTCCTGAATTCCATTTCTTTCTTTTCTTTAGATTTTTTTTTTTTTTCCGGAAAGGATTTGGGCTAGATTTTTAAAAGTTCAGCATCATTTCAAATGAGGTAATAAATGCTTTCCACATTTAAGTCAGAGCAAACAGTCAATGTGAACAGAGAAATAAATTACCTACTTTATGACCTAAATGATCTAGTTGAACATTTAGTGTTGAGAATCTCAGTGATTAAAGAGGAAATCCTCCTGAGATTATTTGTTGTTTATTGTTGTGGATGAGACAGAAAAAAACATAAAAATTACTTAAGAAAAACTTTCCAGCAATGAAGTTAAGAAATCATTTATTTCATGGGACCTTTTATAAGAGACATTATGTAATATAACAATGACTTCAGGTGGAATTTGGCAGAAGCTGTATGTTGAATTTGTAAAAACAAAGGAAAATAATGGAAAATCCTATATCTCTAAAGTGATCAGAGGGAATATAATTCTGGAACATTGTTTTCTGGGGATTTTACTTTTCATAAAGGAAGCAGTCTTGAGGCATGACAAGGTAATATAGTCCCAGGACTGAGGACTGTCTTTCATCTGCCCACTTGAGGGCCCCCTCAGTTTTAACGTGGATACCATAGGGCTGATGAATCCTTGGTTACCACTCCTCACTGAGGAAGGGAAAAGACCTCACTATGTGTCAGAAAGTTTGTACCTGGCCTTGTTCCCACAGTGGCTCCTGAGCTTGCTCCCTCACCTGTGCTGAGCACCATGCATTTGGAATTGGCTGAGTAAGGCCTTAGTCACACTGTCTCCTATAATTAAATCTTTACCTGGTCTGGTTTGCAGAGATCACAACCTCATGGGTATTCGACCCACACCCTGTAAGTTGAATTTTTGAGAGCAGCAGGCACGTGGTGCTACTCTGCTGTATTTTAGGGGAAGAACAGCAGAGGGTGGGAACCGCTGGCCTGAGCAGCTAGTGCCTGGGACAGGAGAGCATTGTCAGACTACAGCACAATGTGTTATCAAATTACTAGTGGGTTCTTGGTCATTTATTTTAAAATGAATAGAAAATATTGCTCATGAAGAAAAATACTGATTTGTAAAGCTTCTGTGGATGGTTATTGGTGTGTCTACACATTTGTGTATGTACTGTGTACATAAATTGATTTCTCACTCTAGCTTATAATCAAGGAAACTTACAGGGTAACGTAGTATGCTAGTAATGTAAACTGTTATCTTTGCTTTGTAACTTTTCCATCTCCAATCAATACATTGTGGGAGAAGATGGGTTTTTCCCTTAGTAAATATGATCCATTTCTTTTTTTTTTTTTTTTTGAGACAGAGCCTCAAGCTGTCCCCCTGGGTAGAGTGCCGTGGCATCACAGCTCACAGCAACCTCCAACTCCTGGGCTCAAGCGAGTCTCTTGCCTCCGCCTCCCAAGTAGCTGGGACCACAGGCGCCCGCCACAACGCCCGGCTATTTTTTGGTTGCAGCCGTCATTGTTGTTTGGCGGGTCCGGGCTGGGGATTCGAACCCGCCACCTTAGGTGTACGTGGCTGACGCCTTAGCCGGTTGAGCTATAGGCGCCGAGCCATATGATCCATTTCTAATCCCCGTACTTCTGACACCAAATACGTGGTCTGTTCTCCACATCAACTGGTTCTCTAGCTCTGGACAGGAGCAGGGTGTTCTGCAATCCGGCTGAATCCTGCCGGTAGCCAGAGTTCCTGCAGGCCCCCCAGTTGAGTTTAGTCCATGAGACTGCCTCCCTGCAGACACCTGTACTGCTGACCAGCCAGCTATAAACTGGGCCTCCCATGACTCCCTCCTGGGGTTTGATAATTTGTTAAAGTACCTCACAGAACCCAGGGAAACCCTTTAGCATGTTTAGCAGTTTATTACAAGGGGTGTCCTACAGGGTATGGATGAGCAGCCAGATGAAGAGGCGCAAAGGGTAAAGTTTGGAAGGACCCTGAACTCGGGGGTTGAAGGACATCACCCTCCCTGCACGTGGATGAAGGGACCAACCCGGAAGTTCTCTGCACCTCACTGTTGAGGTGTTTCTGTGCAAGTTCCCTCACGTGGGCTTGAGCCATAATAGTAACTTAATCTCCAGCCTCTTCCTCCCCCAGAGGCTAGGTGGGGCCCAAAGTTCAGGCCTCTAAGCCAGGTTTGATCTTTCTGGCATCGAGCCCCCATCTTGATGTTCTCCAGGAGCCCACCCAGAGTCACCTCATTAAAAGATGTTCCTGTTACTCAAGAAATTCCAAAGGATTTAGAAGCTCTGTGTTTGGAACCAAAGGCAAAGACCAAACATCACGATAAAAAATGTTCCTATCTATCATCGCCCCTGTTGCTTAGGACATTACAAGGATTTTGGGAGTTCTGGGCACGAATCAAGCACAAAAACCAAATATAAACTTATTACATCATAGAATCTCAGTAATATAGGAGCAACATTGCTATAATACATTAATTTTTTTAGTAATAGAGCATGAATAAAAACAAGCCTTTTTTGGTCAGTGTTCCCTCAGAGCATGTGATGTTCCTAAAACAAGCAGCATGTAGGTTTATAGCGCCATCTGCTGGAACATGCCTTCTGTTGCCAGAGAAACCAAACACGCCGAAAACAGTGGTTTGGGGTGTTCTTGTTTGGGAGGGTTTTTTTTTTTTAACAAATTAAAATAGAAAAGACCTAAATCTAATAACTATGTTAGGTTGGTTTGCCACATCTGTTTAAGTATGGCTAATCCCCATCCTAAAACCTACAATTTGCTTTATGTATCTATAAAGATCCAGAAAGACGGCTTGGTGCCTGTGGCTCAAGTGGCTAAGGTGCCAGCCACATACACCTAAGATGGTGGGTTCGAATCCAGCCTGAGCCCGCCAAACAACGATGGCTGCAACCAAAAAATGGCCAGGCGTTATGGCGGGTGCCTATGGTCCCAGCTACTTGGGAAGTGGAGGCAGGAGACGCTTGAGCCCCGGAGTTGGAGGTTTCTGTGAGCTGTGATGCCACTGCACTGTACCCAGGGTGACAGCTTGAGGCTCTGTCTCAAAAAAAAAAAGATCCAGAAAGACGTTTAGGAAAATGAAAGCTTTTTAAATTAACAGCACTTGTGATTAGTAGGAAAAAAAGACAGTCAAGACACTTTGCAGTTCTTTTTCCCTTTACCAAATGAGCCTAAATAAAAACTTGAAATTTAAAAGCAAATGAAGCAAAACGAAACGATGTCTAAAAAGTCAAATTTTAAAAGTTGTAAATCGTCTCGTGAATCATCTAATAATAGAAGCAGCCCACAAGTGAAACAGAGACTCAGATCCAAGAATTTTGAGGAGGAGACAAAGTGGTGTGATGAGCTGTGCACACTGCATTGGACAGAACTTCAAGTCCAACTAAACAGGAGATATTGAGAGAGGGGAGGTGACAGTCCGGGAAACTGACAACAAAGATCCTTGGAGCGACTAAGTAAAAACATTGGGTTTATTCATCTATCTAGAGTTCAGAATATGTTTTTCTCATAAAAATAGTGATCGAGTGACTTGTCCAGCCCCATCATGAAGAATTCAAAATAATGTGCATTTTTGGCACAGATGGGCCTGACCAGTGACGTGAACGGTGGGGAAGCAGGCCTGAGACAACGGGAGAGGTAGGGACTGCGGGGGTGGGAACACCTGGGTCCCCCGACTCTATCCTGGGTCATTAGTGCCAAATTTTCTACGTGGGTGAGAAATGGTAGAAATCTGGACTTTGTATGAAATCTCTCAATTTGTGGTTGACAGCTCAATTTTGGAAGTGCCATGTAGGTCAACTCTTGAGTTGGATGGCTCTCCAAGCTGCCAGTTTACAACTGATTCCGGAAAGAGGCAGCCTCTACCGTTTTCAGCATAGTTCCTGGAGGACCCTTCCCTGGACTAACTTTTCACCTCCTTTTTATGCCTCTTGCTCCTCCCACTCCAGCTGAATGAAGTGTGTCAGTTGTAGCAGTCACACAAGTAATTCTGTCATCCAACTTCATACACCCTGATTTTACCTGGCAAGCTTGAGTAGATGTGTCAGGTCTCAGAGTAGAGCCTGCCTGCTGTGGTCCTACCGGGCACCTCCCAGCAGGACTCCGTTGTTTTCAGCCAGGTTGATCTCTGTACTTGTTAAATAGTAACTCAGGTTAATCTCTGTACTTGTTGAATAGTAACTCCACCGTAGAGCCTTGGAAGGAACAGCTCAGGCTTGTAGCTCTAAACCTTAAGCACATACCTGATCCCCATACTGCAAGAAATAGGCTTCAACTCTCTTGATCCATGTGCTTATATATTGGTGTGTTCTTACTTTCTTGTGGGACTAGGCAAATTAGCTTTTCTGTTATCTCCTAATAATGAGGGGGCTCTATCCATTTATCCTCACATTCCCAAGTAATTTCAGCTTGTCTGACGTTAATTATTTTCTAATTGAGTTAAACTTGCTTTGCTTATGAGTGGATTTTTTTTTTTGATTTTTTGATTTTAGGTTTTCAGTTTATATGGGTCCTCAAGTCCTCTGTTTATCCCTCGGCTACTTTTTAAACCACATGTTGGAGCCGTGTACTGGACTGAGGGAAAGGCAGAGCAGGGTCAGGCTGTTTCTTGGGAGGGGGCCAGGAGTTAAGAAACAGAGGTGGGAGGAAGGAATTAATACACTGTTTCTCTGAAATTTCATAGTAGGAATGTAACAGAAGGGGAAGGAATTTGGGTGCTGAGATGAGTAGTCCTAAGAATAAATGTTGATTTAGTGACTCATAAACTTCTTTTGACCAACTAAAATCAACAAATGTTGAGCAGTCCTGAGCAGTTTACAGACGTCAGCTTGTTTAAACTACATGGTAACCCTATAAAGTAGGCATTGTTGTTAATCTTGTTATTCATCCTGGTTACTATTTCATTTTCATTAAATTCTATGTCTGAAATCCTAACTGTTAAACTTCGTTCACCTCATCCCATAGTAAGAAATGTATTTAACATTCTACACACATAGTAAGCCAACTTATATATGTGACAGAAAACTTCCTATGCATTTACTATGAGTAATGCACTGTAATATTTCCTATTTTCATTCTATTTTTTGAAAAAGTGGTTTGGGCCAACTAAACTGATATCGTAGCTCACTAATAGGTTGTGCCCCATAGTTGGAAAAAAACAGTGCATTGGGCCATCCAGTGTACCGTATGTCTGTTGTGTAGACACGTGAATATCCACATGTATACGTGGGTGAGACTCAACAGCGCATGCGCCAGAGTGCTACCCAAACCAGGACACATTCGGAGTTTGCAGGTTATAGTATCATTTTTGTTTAGTATCATTAACCAGAGTAGAAATACTGTAACTCCTCTGGGGATTTAAAGGACTCTGCCTGTACAAGGCTAGTGAGAAATTAGAAAATCACCTCAAATACTAAAGTTGCTTTGAAAAAAAAGTCATGGAAACTCAGGGTTGGGGAGACTTTAAATACCGTTTCATCCATTCACTGATATGATGCCCCAATCCTCCCCGTATCTTTTGTTCAGACTGTGCTGGAAACACTACCGGTGAGGAAGTGGTTTCCCCTTCAGGATAACCCGTTCCATGTTTTTGACTAGCAGGAGCAAGTTCTTCTGTAGGTTGAGCTGAGATTTGTCTCCATGTCACTTGTCCTCTTCGTCCTCAGTGCGATCCCGGGTGTGACGCTTTGAGATGTCTGAAGAAAACACAGAGCATTAGCTTTGCGTAATGGTGTTCCGCTGAGCCTCCAGGTAACCCGTGTTGTGCTCGTCTCCCCGAAACAGGACCTGATGCAGTGCACAGCATTCGCCACGGCAGATGAGTATCACCTGGGAAATCTGTCTCAGGATCTGGCCTCCCATGGATACGTGGAAGTAACAAGCTTGCCTAGAGGTACTTCTTCTTGAACCTGGGGCCAAGTATGTTAAAATGTATTAGATAATTTTTTTCTGATGCTCTTTAAAGTGTACATTTGTTCACATTTCACTTTTTTTGAAAGGATTGTATCATAAAAGTGGTGTTGAATCTCTTCATACAAATGACATAATGAAAATAAAATGTATTTATGGAGAACATAGTTCTCAGAGTAAATATTTATTATGCTTTATAGGATCTCTGTCACTAGGGTGGTCAAAAAGTCATGCTGTGGCGTTTCTATGACATTAAAAAGTTACTTCCATATTGCAGAAGAACTATGAAATTCTTAGAAATGAGAAGAGCGCTTACCTTAAAAAATTTACCAGTTCAGTCTAATATTTTATAACTGTTGATCTGTAATAAAATATGATCATTAAAAAAAATTAAACATAACTGAGAATTTTAGGGTAGTATCAGGAAGGATTCTTTTTTTTTTTTTTTTTTTGAGACGGAGCCTCAAGCTATCCCCCTGGGTAGAGTACCATGGCATCACAGCTCACAGCAACCTCCAACTCCTGGGCTCAAGCGAGTCTCCTGCCTCAGCCTCCCAAGTAGCTGGGACTACAGGTGCCCGCCACAACGCCTGGACATTTTTTGGTTGCAGCCATCATTGTTGTTTGGCGGGCCCGGGCTGGGGATTCGAACCCACCACCTTAGGTGTATGTGGCTGGCGCCTTAGCAGCTTGAGCCACAGGCGCCAAGCCAGGAGGGATTCTTAAGAAAATAGCCCGCTTTACATTAAAAAATAAATAACTTAGAACATTTTGATGGAAGAGAATTCTACAGTGAAATCAGGATAGCCCTACTCAGAAAATTTAAGAATTTGCCTGAAGGTAGCAATCCCTGCTACAAAGAAAATTCTTAGGAGTTGTTAATCTCGTAAGAAACAGTTGCAATGTCGTGCATTTTCAGCCCTGATGATCTGAGCAGACTGTGCTGTTTGATGACAAAAACAAGCATAGTTGACTAAGAAACACAGCTCTGGCCAGAGCCCCTAAAATGAAAAATTGCTCAGGGTATTGTTGCCTGACAGAAGACAGCCAGAAGTATGGCCTTGTGCAGTGCAGAGAGGAGGGCTTCTTTGCCCTGGGTCTGTTCCGTCTAATTTACGTTGCTTTTGGCTATGTGAGCAAATTTCGCCCTGTGCAGGATGTAGTAGGTAGGAACGTGAGAGTTCACAGGAAAAAAGGTAGTTAGGATGTGGTCACTGTCTAATTCCCCCACCTCTACCAGGAATTCTGAAGCTTTGAGGATCTTAGTTTTGGGTCAAGAAATTATACTGTATATAGTTGGGGTTTTTTGTTTTTGTTTTTGTTTTTTTCTTGTTGTTGTTACAGTTTTGGGCCAGGGCGGGTTTCAACCCGCCACCTCCAGGATATGGGGCTGGTGCCCTACTCCTTGAGCCACAGGCGCCGCCCTACTGAATGTAGTATTTACAAATGAATGATAGTATATTTGTTAATTGCTCTATTAGCATGCGTTATCCATAATTTACATTATGGGATATATACTAATGACTGATGATAAATGTTACTATGTAAAGTAACTACTTGTTAATAAGTATGGATATATTAGTATATATTTAATAATATTCAATATTGAAAAGATAAAAACAAATTTTTTTTTTTTTTGAGACAGAGTCTTACTATGTCACCCTGGGTAGAGTATTGTGGCATCACAGCTCACAGCAACTTCAAACTCTTGAGCTTAAGCAATTCTCCTGCCTCAGCCTCCCAAGTGGCTGGAACTACAAGCACCTGCCACAACACCTGGCTATTTTTTTTTTTGCAGTTGTCATTGTTCAGTAGGCTCCGGACCAGGTTCAAACCTGCCAGCACCTGTGTACGTGGCGCCCCAACCGCTGAGCTACAAGTGCCAAACCAAAAAGATTAAACATTTTAAATAGTTACAGGTGGCTGTAGTGGTAGTTCTCACGATTAGACTTGAAATCAGATATGTTCTGAAATGGTTAGTATCTTTATCTTTTTATATTTTCTGTTCCCCACACTTTGTATAAGTTAAAATTAAGGAGAATGAGTAATTTGGGAATATTGAAATTATATTACTAATAAAATGGTATTTAAAAGCAGAGACTACATTAATACTTCATATTTTAAATTAATCTTGTAGAAAAAAGTTTAATTCAAAGCTTAATTGTACTAAACCTAAGACTTTAATAATTATGAATTGGGGCTAGGTACAGTGGCCAAGGCAGGAGGGTCACTTGAGGCTAGGAGTTCAAGACCAGCATGGGCAATGCGAGACCCTGTCTCTCCAAAGAAAAAATTTTTAAAGATTAGCCAGGCATGGGCCAGATGCGGTGGCTCACGCCTGTAATCCTAGCACTCTGGGAGGCTGAGGCTAGTGGATTACTTGAGCCAAAGAGATCAAGACCAGCCAGAGCAAGAGTGAGATCGCGGTCTCTACTGAAAAAATAGAAAAACGAGCTGGACATTGTGGCAGGCACCTGTAGTCCCAGCTACTCAGGGGGCTGAGAAAGGATCATTGCCTGAACCCTACAGTTTGAGGTTGTCAGCTATGACTCCAGCACTGGGGGCAACAGAGTGACACTCTGTCTCATGAAAAAAATAATTAGCGAGGCATGGTAGTGTAGCTACTTGGGAGGCTGAGGCAGGAGGATCATTTGAGCCAGGAATTTGAGGTTGCTGTGAGTATGATGCACCATTGTACTCCAGCCTGGGCAATAGAGTGAGAACCTGTCTTAAAAAAAGGAACTGGGCTCGGTGCCTGTGGCTCAAGCGGCTAAGGCACCAGCCACATACACCTAAGGTGGCAGGTTCGAATCCCCAGCCCAGGCCCGCCAAACAACAATGATGGCTGCAACCAAAAGAATGGCCAGGCGTTGTGGCGGGCGCCTGTACTCCCAGCTACTTGGGAGGCTGAGGCAGGAGGATCATTTGAGCCAGGAATTTGAGGTTGCTGTGAGTATGATGCACCATTGTACTCCAGCCTGGGCAATAGAGTGAGAACCTGTCTTAAAAAAAGGAACTGGGCTCGGTGCCTGTGGCTCAAGCGGCTAAGGCACCAGCCACATACACCTAAGGTGGCAGGTTCGAATCCCCAGCCCAGGCCCGCCAAACAACAATGATGGCTGCAACCAAAAGAATGGCCAGGCGTTGTGGCGGGCGCCTGTACTCCCAGCTACTTGGGAGGCAGAGGCAGGAGACTCGCTTGAGCCCAGGAGTTGGAGGTTGCTATGAGCTGTAATGCCACAGCACTCTACCCAGGGGGACAGCATAAGGCTCTGTCTCAAAAAAAAAAAAAAAAAGTCAAAATGGGTTTGAGAACAGTTTTAAATAGCACAAATAATATCACAGGTTGTTGAATGTTACATGAAAGTAATTATGGTGGCCATTTTTCCTCATGGTCATATTTTCATTTTTATGTATTAAATTCTTTCAGAAAGCTTAGTGGAAAGATGCAGATTGTGTTACAGCATACTTCTTGATACATAAAGACATAGTCCTTTATTAAAATATTTATAGGTGACTCTTATACTTTGTGGTACCTTGTAACATAGTTTTTTGTTCATTTCTTTAAAATCACAGATGCAGCAAATATTTTGGTGATGGGTGTGGGAAATTCTGCAAAAGAAGGCGATCCTGGAACAGTATTCTTCTTCAGGTAAGACAGGGAAGAAGTCTTACTGGGAGATAGGTTTGTGGCAAGTAATTTTGTTCTTTAAAAGTGCAGGTGTACCTCTCTTAATTATGAATATTGAAAATGTATTTGTGATTCGATTTATCAGATGATTATCAGATTATCATTTATCAGATGATTTTTATTTGATCTAGGAGAGTTGTCACAGGAATTTTCTGGTAAATCCTCTTATGCGTTTTTTTTTTTAAAGACAGAGTCTCCCTATGTTAGAGCTTACAGAAACCTCAAATTTTCAGGCTTAAGCATTTCTCTTGCCTCAGCCTCCCAAGTAGCTGGGACTACAGGCGCCTGCCATAACACCTGGCTGTGAAATAAAGAATTTTTTAAACAAATAATCTTCCCCTGGTTTGGCTTTCTTGGTAAATGTAGATTGACATGGGCTAAGTTCATGTAAAGCATCCTCCTTCTCCTTCATCTTTGACCCTTTTCAAACTCAGGCTACCTCCCCAGCTTGTCTTTTCCTCTGCCAATTTCTTCCTTTTTTCTTTCTTTCTTTCTGCAGCTCTTTAGCTGAGGTTTCAGCACCCCCTTTCTTCTCTAGAGACTTTAAATTGAGACCATGACTCAAATACACTTCTTTTATTTAAAGTTTGTCTTAATACCAAATCCTCCCAAGTAGCTGACTGGGGGTACTAATGATAACACGTGTAGCAACCAGGCAAAGTAACGTCGTATTGTCCTCACTATGCTTGAGGAAGGTCAGTTATTCTCATTTGGCAGCTCAGGAAACGGTCAGAAGGATGAAGTGAATTACCCATAGTCTTGAGACTAGTAAGTGGCAGAACAAAAGCTCCTGGGCCGCCCATCAGAACCCAAACTTGAGTAACGCTTTTGTGGTCATGGTCCTTACAGTTGATGGTAACCGGAGACCCTATCTGTATTCCCTTCAGTGCCTCCCTGCCTTTGACCCTGTCTTAGAGATATTCAAAATTTCAAATTTAGTCCAAGTAGAATAATAGCATCCCTCCCTCAAGGGAGGAGTTTAGGTTTCTGAGGACCTCTAGAAATCCAGTCGAGATACATATATATTTGTATGTATCTGTAGATACATTTTCTAGTGACCTCATTAAAAAAATTTTTTTGAAAGATGAAATTAACTTTGAATGACACAGATATCCCATGCTTCTTGAAATGTTAGCGTATTTTATTTAATCCAACATATGTAAAATACTGTCATTTCAACGTGTAATTAGTAATTAATGAGATTTTTCCACTCCTCCCTTCATGCTAAATCTTTGAAGTCTGCTGTGTATGTCACACTCAGAGCCCATCCCAGTGTACACCGGGCATCTTTTAAGTGTTCAGTAGCCACATGTGGATTCTGAGCCCCTAACTGCTCACGTGGCTCTAGAAAAAGGAGAGTGTAATGCACTAGCCCTCTCTTCTGCCTAAAAGTGATTCTCTGAACTGATACCGTGGCTATGGTTTGAAATACCCTCTCGTGAGGCCGTATCCTGAGACCCTGTCCTGGGTTCTTGCGGCAGGTTGCTGACTGGTCTCCCTGCCTGCCTGCCCACCCACCCCTAGTCTGTGTGTGTGGCCACAGTCCAGCAGCCACCAGCTATTTATTCTGACACTCCCTCCCCTGTCCTCCCTGAGCCCGCGCGTCCCTCTCTCTGTAGGCTCCTCTCGTTTTCTCATTTGACAGCCCTGCTGGTTCTTAGGAGAGGTGTCCCTCTGATGCACAGCCCTGTACAACCATGTATGCTGTTACCCCACAGAGCTCTCTTATGCACTCATCATACACTATTGTAACTGGGGGTCCAAGTGTCAGTCTTTTCTAGATTGAGGATAGGAAATAGATCATACTTAACCATTTTATCCCAAATACAAAGCATAGGCTCGGCTCAGCACCTGTGGCTCAAGTGGCTAAGGCGCCAGCCACGTACACCTAAGGTGGTGGGTTCAAATCCAGCCTGGGCCCGCCAAACAACAATGATGGCTACAACCAAAAAATAGCCTGGCATTGTGGCGGGCACCTGTGGTCCCAGCTACTTGGGAGGCTGAGGCAGGAGACTCGCTTGAGCCCAGGAGTTGGAGGTTGCTGTGAGCTATGATGCAACAACACTCTAGCTAGGGGAATAGCTTGAGGCTCTATCTCAAAAAACAAAAACAAACAAAAAAAAAAAGCACAGGCTCACTCATTTATTAAGCACTTTACTTAACAAGTGTTTAAAGGGTGAAACAGGGCCCTCATATTTTTACCTGTCTTCCATTGCCACATTCCTTCCCTTAATACAGGAATTCAGAGCCACAACTCATTTAACACCTAAAAAAACTGAACACGTCAAACTTCAGAAAATGAACAACTGCATTTATAGTTTTAGGCTTTAAATTCTGTCAAAGCCAGAATCAGATTCACAAAGCCTCCTGTGGCTTCACTGTAGTTCTGTGCTAAGCCCTGTAAGGATGGGTGGCATTTTTCCATAGAGGCTTTTAGCCAGCTGAGGCTGTAACTGATCTCAGTCGCTTTATTACACAATTATTAAAAGCATCATCAGTTATTCTTTGCCCACAGCAGAGAGCTTAGGCAAGGTCTCAAAAAAATTTCTGACTTATGTGGATCAGAATTGAAGCGAGTATGTGTCTAGATACTTGAAGTTCTGTAGTACTACAGTAATAGCTGTCAGTTCCACAGGCATGTTGAGTAATCATGGATTTTTTTTTTTTTTTT